CCCCAAAACCCCAAAACCCCGTAAGACCTTTTGTCGAAGAATTTAGGAATTATTGACATTATATAATTATTTTAAAGAGCTGCGAAGGGGAGATGAAGGATCAAAATTAATAGACCAAAGAATAAGCTAAACAAGAAAAACCAAATTAAAAGTCTACTAAATAACCTCCAACTTAGGACAATCAACCGTCTCCCTCTTTGGATTTTAAGTAATCTTTTTCACCCATATTTTCTTCTCTAAACTGGAGATAGTTAAGAACTTGAAAAAGCATTAAAGCAAAGAGGAGATACTGCAGTACATTTAGCTGTATGAGATAATGACACATAACAGCTAAAAGAACTTTTAAGGAGAGGGCTTAGAGTATTTAACTAATCTGATGCTGATGGTGGGACACCACTTCACAGGTAAAAACTAGATTAATCATTTTGATTGGTAGAGCTGCAGAGACTTGCGCAATCGATTGTGCTAAAATATTACTTGAGCATAATGCGGATATTGATGCCTAAAACTTTAGTGGATAGACTTCATTTCATGTTGTAAGTATCTACTTGATAGCTTTATTTTACATTATAATTCTTAATCAAGTGCGCAGAGAAGCAAGACTTTGTATTTGGGAAATTCTTATTGAAAAATAGAGCTAGGAAAAATTGTCGAAGCGGATGTAACAAATGTAGATTTTTTGTGAAATAAATTGAAAGACATGATAGAAATTAAAGAGAATATGAGCTTAAACAGTAGTAGAATAAACTTGAAGAGTAGAAAATACTAGAATAAGACAAAGAAGATCAAAAGCTAGCAGAGCAGCTGAGCTAATTAGACTTAATGGAGGAGATACAGAAATGCAGGGTATAAACAGGTGGACCATTTTTCAATAAAAGGGAAAATAAAAGACTAAGAGAACAATAAGAGAAAGTTAGAAAAGAGGAAGAGCTGAGATAACAGTAATTGATGAAGTTATAGTAAGCAAGACGAGGTAACGTCTAAACTTAGCCTTTTATCAGACAGTAAGTTGATGGGAGTGAACTGAATAAATCTCAAGATAGTGAGCAAATATAACCATAGATCAGGCCAAGTAACAATTCAAAACAAAATGAGTAAGAGTCTTAAATGATTAAGGAGTAAAATCCTGTAAAAAAAGAGTTCATAAAATCTCAGAACTCTCAATAAAGCAGGCCTAACATTACTTCACAGACTTAAGTATCACCCAGAGAGAAGGCGAAATTGAAAAATTAGACGCATATCTTCATGGATCAACCTAAAGATGACTTAATGCCTCCGCCTTATATTAGCGAATCGTAAGGTAACTAAACGTCGGTTAATCCAAGGAAAAAGAACAAGAAAAGGAGATAAAAGTAGACTGAAATCATGGAGGAGGAGAAAAAGATGGCAAAATCGTAGTGTTCCTAAGAGTATGAGTCTGAAGGAGATATTTAAGCGTTCTACAAGTGAATTCAATTCCCAGTTTTAACTCTTTTTATGATAAAAATCTTTTAACCAGGATGTATTTTTAATTTCTAAAACATTAACAATAAATTGAAATTCAGATACCTCCCTAATTTAAATTTAGATACTTATTTAATCCTTAAACTCAAATAATATTTATAATCTAAAAGATATAGGAAACTATGAATCATCCATAGAACAAAGTTACCCCGAGATCTAATACGGGCTCCGTTCACGAAACTCTTATTGAAGATGCTTAGAAGGTTAGGATTGAGGACCTTCCTTTAGACAAAAAGCTAGAAGAATTAAGAAAATATAACCCAATCGATTACTATGATCAAGGCAGATATATTGATGCACAAGACTCAGTAAATTCATGGTGCCTTGGCCAAATTACTCAAAGTGACAATAGAAACCTATAGATTCACTTCGATGGGTGGTCTAATAGATGGGATGTCGTAAGATTTTTCATTTGATGAATTTTAAATTTAGTGGCAAAAAGTTACCTCATATAAGATCGCTCCATTCAGAAAAAATTCCAGAGGTTATACAGGGCAAAACAAAATTGCACTCAGATAGAATCATGTTTTCAAACTTGATGATGTCCACACAGTATGAATACATATGATCACCCAATTTATAGCACAAGCAAAGAGTTGAAAGATTGATAGAATCAGATTTAAATGGCGTTGGAGCATTCCATACTACCCAATATCTTAGAGGAGATCTCTATATCTATGTTGATTTCTTGCTCTAACATAGCCCTTATACTGACGAAGAGATTGATGCTATTAACGACTTTATGTACTGTGTCATCAGATTGATTGTTACTTGGCTAAAGAAGCTTCCAAAGCTCCTTCATCTCGTAAGATATTTTTGAAATTTTCATTTATTAACCAATATTCGCATAGTAAAGCCAGATAAAAGTAAATCCTGACCTATTTCTGATTGATGAAAATATTGCTATTATCTAAAGTGGTTATGAGCTAATGGACATTTTGAAAAAGCTTTTCGGCTGCTGCCATAGATGCATCAAGTTCTATATTGAAAATGATAAGAATCCAATATAGTTTGAGAATCCAGTTACAAAATCTTACGCAGGAATTGACTTTGAGATCAGAAGAAAATCACCTGATGATTTGACTGATGTTGAAGATATCAGAGAATAGATCATGAATAGAAAAGGAATAGAATATGGTCAATTTATGAACTTCATCAATTATTTCGCAGAGTTAGGTGGATTTGATGCTATAATCGATTATCTAAAAGTGGGTAGTGAGACAAGTGAGGACAAGATACCTCTAGATATCATCACTATGATGACTTCTCCTTTCAAGAATTGCAACGAAATATTTTCTCCAACTTTTGCTTAGAAGTTTGTTTTCAATGTCAGAGATATTCTAATTTCGAGAATTAGAAATATAAGCGAAAAAGAGCTTAAAGAAATTGATAAGGAAATTATTGGAAGAGTTCTTAATGATCTCAAAGAGTTCCTTACACTGTTCCTTAACGAAGAGGAGACTGCAGAAATAGTTGAGACTAATCAACTCCTTGTAGCGCTAAGATTTTTAAAAAGTACTTATCTTGAAAAGAGATTAAAAGGTATTTCTGAGATAAAATTTATGATTGAAAGACTTGATATGGCCCAAAAGCAAGCTTAGATTCAAATTTTATAACAACAATAAAGATTCGCTAATAAGATGTACTTCGATAATGAAATGAACTAATTGAAAAATTTCAGAAGTCCAAAATGGTTAACATAAGAGAAAATGAGAGACTGGCTTTTAAATGAGAAAATTCTTGAAATAGTCCTTGGCGAAAACACTCACTTAGAAATTGTAAAAAGAAGCAGTTGCATTCTCAAATTCCTTGCTAAATTGGATTCATTGCCTCTTGATAGTGTTGATCTTATCTGGAAAAGTCAACTTGGTAAGCATGAAGAAATGGTCAGAGTTGTTTATCAAATGATCCAAGAACTTGTACCTTTTACTCAACACAAGTACATAGATATGTTCTACTAAAAAATCTAATAAGTTCCTACTTCTCAGTATGATGATAAATTCTTGGAATTCCTTAAAGATTTTACCATGAAGAGTCTTGAAAGTTATTATGATACTAAACATAATGAGGACAGTATTAATGAAAGTAATACCATCGCTTATGAAGACTACATTTCTCTAAGAGAGAAATAAGCCCTTTAGAGAATTGGTGAAATTGTAAATAATCAGTAAATCAATCAACTAGGAGATGAAAAGCATTATGGATTGCCAATTTTTTGGGAGCTCATTTAAGATAGAGCTACGTCAGTATCTTCTGATTAAATGCAAATAGCTATTAAATCTATCAATGATATTTTGAGACAACAATTTAGTCACCCAATCAGGATAAATTATCTTGTTAAATCTGTTGACAATTTGGTAAAAGGAGAATCAGTTGTTTAGTCAATTGAAATTCTTCAAAATATTGTGGATCAATTCCCTATTAGTCAATTTAATGAGAATGATGTCACTTAAAAGACTGTCATTGTCTAACTCAATAAATAGCTACAACTTGTCAACAAGATTATTCAAAACATTAAAAACTATCATCTTTAAGTGAAGGAAAAACTCAAAACACTATAAGCTTCAAAGAAAATCTTGCCAGAAGATATATCAACATATATTTTCGTTGGAAAGCATGCTCATGATAACATTTTAAATCAGCTTCTAAAGTTTTTAGAATCACTAATAATTGAATCGAATCTTGATGTAACTATCGGTCCAGAAAATATTAACACTCTATGGGAAATCTTCGTTTAACAGCCAAACTTTAGTTCCGATCAGAATCTCTTTTTGAAATGGATCAATTTATAGAGACAGCACGACTAATTCATCTTTAATGATGAGGAGAGAAAATACCTATTCACCAAAATTTTATGCAATCCAACATATGTCAATAAAATGAGTTACGGTCAAGTTAAATGCTTCTAGAAATACTTCAAAATCATCAACAGCTAAGAGGAAAACATGGAAATCTAAAGAAAGAGAATGAGAGTAATAAACCATGATAAACTTATTGGTTTAGACACTCTATGGAGAATGGCAGTAGAGTCTGAAAATGAGAAATCAAAAGAAGAATCAATGGATCTTCTTGTTGAACTTCACTTGAAATTTGACTAATCACTGTCTATTCCAGAATAGCATAAGGTGTGGCTAGGCTTTATCAACAAGTGCGTTAAGAATCTTGACTCAGCAGATGATAATTTGGTAGCAAATACTATATAACTACTTAGCAGGTTCATTGACAAATATGAAGGAAAGAGGCCTTTGAAGCCAGATGTTATTTAACCTTAATACCAAAACTTTACTCCATGCACAGTTACTGTTCAGAATAGAGTTGATAGTACTAGGAAATAAGTACAGATCGGCTATTTCCAAACAATGGGACATTTAAGATAGAAAATTGCAGATGCTTTCGATCTTTAGATAAATGAATTTACGATGAGCTTGAGAAATTCATTCGTTGACCAAGATGAAGATGACAATAAACTAGTCAAAGAGTTTGGAGTAATCTAAAGTGTTTTCATTTCAAAGAATGCTAGCTACAATGCTGATAATCATCCAAAAAATATTATAGCTAGTAACTAAGCTAACTATGAAACTTTATTCTTCCTTCTATCAAAGGATAATCCTCAACTAGTCGAGACTGCTTGGGATCTCCTATAAAAGCTTCCAGTTAATGTCAAGCTTTCCCAAGAGATTAAAGAGCTCTCAGGACTAGGAGAAAACTCAAAGAATTGGGAAAGACTTCTGGACCCTAAATCCACTAACAAACTTCTATATTCTCTGAGAATTATTAACAACCTTCATTCGAACAAGAAAGATCCTAAATGCTAATAATGGAAATATAAATTTGTCTCACTCGGAGGCTTCACTCATCTTCTAAAGACTTTCATTAATCTAGAAATTAAGTAAATTGATACTAATCTGATCCTGAAATGTGTCGAGCATCTCATCTTTATCTTGCATGATTTCATTGTTAATGACAGAGAACTTGTAAAATTAGTCATGGATAACAAGGAAAGTGTGATCCTCAAAAGCATTAATCTAATTGATTTGATAGCTGAGTTCTTTTTAGTTAATGAGAAGAAGAGAGGATACTCACTTGAAGATCTAAACAAAAGATTACTATAAAACAAGCAAAAGAAGAATAAATATAAGCAGTACATGATGGGAGGTAAAGGACAAGGTAATCTTCAATAAAATTCATAAAATGAGGAAGAAGATGATAAAGAAAGTTAAGAGTATACTTAGTATCAATAACTTCAAAAGTAATTTGTAGAGGATTGCTAGATCATTTCAAGTCTATTCAAGTTCATGTTCTTAACTGTATTTAACAATGATCCCTCAGCTTCAACAATAGTAGTCAAGTACAAAAACCTAGAGAATCTTATTGCTAAGACTACCATTCAAAATGAAAACTACTTGGTTAGAACAGAAGTAATCAAGAAATTTAAAGAAATTATGGGCTTGAGATAGAATCTTTAAGACTCTAAATTACTTTAAGATATTCTCATTATAATGCTATTCAAGATTCAAGACCTGACCTAGAATCATGAGTTAAGATGTACGAATTTCTTCGAAGGACTAATGCATATAATTGACAATTAAGCTCCCTAGGAAATTAACACTCTAGAGATACCTTGCAAAGATTTAATATTCAAACTAGCTAGCTTCATTCAAGAGAGAGAAATTAGGGAGAAAAATACTCAAGATACAGACTTTCTTCTCATTGGTAAAATGAAGATATTAAAAGTGTTGCTCTAAAAATTCCCTCAATATAAACAGCAAGTTGGTAAATTCCTCACAGGCTATTTACTTCATTAATGCCTATTTGAAGTACCACAGGGTGGGTCCTCTAAGAATTAAACCAAACTTGCCTCGCCTAAATGCAAGAACTTTAATACAAGAAAGTTTGCTATTCAACTATTGTCTGTTCTTTGCAGAGACTGTCTGCCCAATCTTGAGTGTGTTCTTTAATATATGTAGCAATTCAATCAAAATCCCTCATGGAGAACTAATAAAGATCATGACTGGCAGATCTCATTAATGGATAGTGAGAAATCCTCAACTGGCTATGTGGGTATTAAAAATCTTGGATGCATTTGCTATATGAATTCTCTTTTCTAATAACTCTTCATGGTCTCAAGCTTTAGAAATGACCTCCTCTCTGTTAAAGAGTAAAATGGTGATAAAGTTGAAAAAGAGGATAACATGTTGTATCAACTCTAACTACTATTTGCAGGTTTACTTAAGTCAGAGAAACAATACGTTAACCCCAAAGGATTTTGTCATGCATTCAAGGACTGGGATGGAAATCCAACTAATGTCATGGAGTAAATGGATGTTGAAGAGTTCTTCAATATGATAATGGATAGAATTGAAACAGCAATTAAAGGCTCACCATATTAGCACACAATCTAACAACACTTCGGTGGAAAGTTTGCTAGTGAAATGATTTGTAAAGGATGCCCTCACAGATATGAGAACTCAGAACCATTCCTTTCAATTAGTATTCCAGTTAAAAACAAGAAATCTATCCTCGAAGGGCTTGGAGCATTTATCCAAGGAGATATGCTAGAAGGCGATAATGCATATATGTGCGAAAAATGTGATAAAAAAGTTGATGCCTTAAAGAGAACTTGCGTCAAGAAACTACCTAAGCATCTAATAGTAGCATTAAGAAGATTCGAGTTTGACTATGACAAGATGATCAGAGTCAAGATTAATGACTATTGTGAGTTCCCAATGGAGTTCAGTATGGAGCCTTACACTCAAGAAGGCCTAGCTAGAAGAGAAAAGTTCCAAAAGATGAAAGAAGAAAGAGGTGAAGACGACTCCAATGAGTAATAAATTGAGATGGATCCACTTAGATACCCTCCCGAGTACTATGATTATCAGCTTTCAGGTATTGTGGTACACTCAGGGACAGCTGATTCAGGACATTATTACTCATTTATCAAGGATAGAGATCATCCAGAGAGTGGAAAGTGGTACGAGCTTAATGATCATATTGTGAGAGATTTCGACCCAGTTGACATACCTTAAGAGTGCTACGGTGGAGAGGATACCTTCCAAGGATATAACATGGTTTAAATCAAATCTATGAAATGGAGAAACGCCTATCTGCTTTTCTATGAGAAGAAAGTTCAAACAGAGATGAACTCAGACGATGAGAAGGAACTTGATAAGACCCATTCATCAGCCAAAGAAGACGTTGAAATGAAAACCGACAGCCAAGAACTATCAACCCTTGCTGAAATCGAAGAGAAAATTGCTTATGAAAACTAGAAGTACTGGTAAAATAGATTCTTGTTTGGAAATGAGTACCATGAATTTGTGTATGATGTAGCATTGAACTGGAACACCAGCTAAATCATTCCAAAGAATTTCCTTACTAAAAATAATGACTTCCATCTAGTGAATCTACCAATGCCTAAAGAATATGAGAGAGATATAAACATTTTGGAACCACCTGATCTAAAATATCCAATAGACTAAGTCGAAGCTGACAAGTACGAAGAAAGAGTGTTCTAGTTTGCAGCAGGGTTCTACATTACCATTCTTTAAAGAGCTCAAAACAAACTATATATCCCTCAAATGGTTAATCTCCTGAAGAGCTATATTAATAAGAACAGCAACTGTGCCAGATGGTTGATTAGTTAATTCTGCAATCACAAGATTATTGAAGAGACTCTTTTGCAATGTGGGCAGAAGGAAATGAGAAAATTCATTATCGGTCTGCTATATTGCGCTATGCTCAAAGTCTATCCTGAAGATAAGGACCTGATCCTCCAGTACTGGACCAACCCTCTTGACCCTGCCAACAATAGAAGTGTGCTTGTTAATTTATCGCTTGTGCTGATCTAGAACATATTCAATGTAAAGAGGTTCGTTGCAAATAGTCCACAGTTCTTCTAATTGATTGCCAGATTGACATCCTTAGGAACGTAGATGAGAGAGTTTTTCTTGAAAGCTAAGCTTATCGGTAGACTTATGGAATTCTTGTATGACGATGTATCACCTCACAAAGAGCTATTTAGAGACATCAGTGACATTAATCCGCTAATTCTTGAGAAACCAGACATTGGACTACCCACTGAGATAGATAGAAAGTAATTGAGTCAGTTCTAAGAAATGCTTGAAAATAAGAGAATGAGAAATTTATCAGAAGCTAATCCAAAATATAAATACTTAATCGAAGCAGTAAGCAACTGCATAAGATCATTCAGAAATAACTCAGATAGAACTCCATATTAAATAGATGACATTTAGCCATGGGAACTAATGCCACAGGAAAGAGATTTATACATTCCAGAGGGTAAATTCTTAAAAAGAGTGTTCTAAGAGGCTAAAAAGAATAGATCAATTGCATATGCAGCCAAAGGATATGTTCACTTCTGTTGGAGCGATAGATTAGCATTCTAGAGTGTGGTTGAAGCTATTTAAATAGGACTAAGAGAATCAGACTATGATGATGCCAGACCATACTTAATGCTACTTCAACATCTACTTTAAACCCCAGGTGGTGAACCTGCAGAGAACAGATTTGACAATTTGATGTTGGTCTTTATTGAAGTACTAAGAATTAATCAATAGTATTACAAGTTCATGGAAGCCATGTTTGACTTCCTTTTTAAGATTGCTAGCAGAATTTCAACTGTTAAAGAATGGCTAATGAAATTCAAACCTAGATGGGCATTTTTAAACGATTGGGCTATAGATATGAAGTTCCCATTAAATCAAATGGATGCTACAAATTAACTAAGGATCTTCAAGAGAAGAAACAACATGCAAATTCATCAACAGCAAATCAAGAATGAGTACTTTAAGAATATTAGTATTAGAGAGGCGAGACAAAAGAGAATGGAATAGTTAATGAAAGGTGAGTCACCAGATCTCTCAACTGAAATCGACATTGATCTAGTAGATCTCTAGGACTTTAAATTTGTGGCTGGAGAAGTGATAGAATTTTATTACAAAAAAATGGAAAAAGATAGCCCAGTTCAAGTAGAACAAGTGCTTGATGAACTAATTCAGGTTAAGCATATTAACCCACCAGTTAATTAGATAGATGGAGGTTACAACCAAAGCCCTTAGATTTAATGGATTGGCAAAGATACTGACAAACTTCTTTTTAAAGGAACATTCTAGAGTCAATATAGGGTAAGTTTAACAGTATTTTAACACTCTTATTTAGACCAAAGTGATATAATATTTTATAACCCTTTAAAATCAGAGATTGAAATAGCAGGAGCAGACTTAAGGAAACACTGTGATGAGAGGTTAGAACATGAGACATGATGATGGAGATGGAATGAATGAAAATACTCCAAACTACTAAGATAGCGATGAGGAGGATCCTGAATCAGATAATGAAAATATCTACAACTGAAGAAAAAAAGGTGGTGAGCCCTATAGACGCAGAAAATTGTCTAATAATCACAGTACTGGTGTTATTAGACAAGCTAAAAAAGAACTGAGGGTAAAAAGGAAAAGTACAGGAGATTCACCACGTTCATGAGATCAAGGGTCCTCCCCTCACTCACAATGGATGAGTCTATATCTTTTAATAGACGGTGATATTCCTCCTTTTAAGTCTTCCTTTTTATTTTAAGTTTAATTTCTATATTAAATCAAACCTATAGCAATTTTTTTCTCTTCAAATTCTGCATTCTTAAATTAGGGGGTTTTGGGGTTTTGGGGTTTTGGGG